TTTAATTAGCTGTGGGAATTTGTTTCGAAAGCAGTATTCTGGAAGGGGCACTGATGACTTTGAAATTGAAAATTCAGACAGCTTCTAAGAGAATGATTTTTATCTCTACAAGTTCATTTTTAAGCTTTGATTTTCTTAGATTAGTTTGTTCAGTGTTTTCCTTTGAATTATTATTTGAACATTTTTTTCTCTGTGTCATAGCACATGATTTTGGTACACACACAATTCAAATATTATAAAAAATGTAAACCTGCTTCTGCCTCAATGACACATTATTGAATGAATATTTGTACTGTTACAGAGAAAACGTAAAGCCTTAAGAATCAGTTACAGCAAATGCTTAAGAGACCAAAATTCTGTTGCTTTATTTTGAAGTTTGATGAACTTTAACTTACCATTTTTCCATTATTTTATTTTTTATCCTTTAAGACCCCAAAGAAAAGTAGGAGTTTTAGGTTGTGACTAATAGCAAAACTTCTTCAGCTGCCTAGTAGAGGTAAGTGTGTGGGAGTACTGCCTCTTTAAGGACACTCACGTGCACCTTCATTTATTTTGTTAAATGTGATGATATGTGTAAATACTATTACTGCCTTATGTGACAAATAACAACATTGAGTGTATAGCTGGGTCTTTATTAAAAAGAATTTTTTGGTGAGATGCTAGTTTGTAAGCATTAAAACATGTTAAAACAATTTCATCTAACCCCCGCCTTGGGTAAATCTTGCATAATTAGTAGTTGAAAGCGTACGGTGCTTAAGAACATGGAACTCATAGGTCTGGAAACGACTCTGCACTGGTTTTTTTCTTCTTTCTACCTGTTGCATCTGGGCTGGAGAGTTTTCAAGTTATACCAAGTGCATCAGTGGTGAATAATTAAGTAGTTTTAAAGAAAACACACACTTAGGCTTATAGAAGGAGTTAGCTCAGTGAGAATTTCTGGAAGGTTTGTGGATGTCTCTCTAGTTTCCAAGTGATTTGATTGGGCTTCTCAAACAAACAAACAAACAACCAAAAAAAACCCCCTTAAAACAATAATTCTTTTAGAAGCCATAAAATAAAATAAACTCCAAACCTGGGACATTATAATATCAGCAGTGATAATTATCTGTGTTTCCCTTCTATTACAAAATGAAAACAAATTAATTTCATCCTCTAATACCTAAGTCTCCCTTCTGAAACCTGAGGCAGTGGATCTGCTTCAAAGTTTTTTGCTTCAAAAGCTGACAGGCCCAGAACCTTGGAATTCAAAGCTCGCCTATAATCTCTAGAAACAGATTACAAAATCAAAGAGAAGCCAGGTTGATTGCAGAAATCAATTGCCCTCTGTCTTTCAGGCAAGAGACAGCACTTTCCTAATCTGGTGAAAGATGATGAAGAAGTTAATCCAACAGGTGAGGTTGGTGATGATCAAGATTAAATTTTAGCAAGGTTAAACTCCTTACCTTCAAAGCAAAGAGAAAAACCCCAAAAACAAAAAACCCCAGAACTCACACAGTGGGAGGGGGCTCAGAGAGGGAACTCAAAAACATCTTTGAGTTTTGAAATGAGACCTGAATTCAAAGTTACAGTCAAATTTGTCTTAAAATCGGGGAGAAGAGAAAAAGAGGGTTAGTTCAAATATTAAAGAGAAACTCCAGATGAATAAAATATGTTGAAAATGATTGCCAACTTGCCTGACACCCCGTGACCCCTTTGCCTCCTCAGAACCTTAGATGAGTCATTCAAACAATATTTTAGATACCAACTTTTCAATTTTGTCAATGGAAGTTCAGCAGATAACAAGGCCTCGAACAGATAACTCTTAAGGAAGCTGCTGGATAATTCTCTACCTTAGAAGGGTTATTAAATATTAAATATGCTAAAGTAAGGAGCCAAAGCCTGAAAAGGTACCAGGCTCGGACAGCTCCAGAGGAATGGGGAGGCAGATATGAAACTCACTTGTGGACTTTTTCACCTACACAAGTGGCCCCAACACAGTTCTGATGGAAGAAGGTGACGATGGGGTGGAGGGGAAGGGCCTTTGAAAATCTCGTTCCAGGAAGAGAGTGAAATGCACGTTGGCAGAGCCCCACATTCCTCGATACATCTCGGCCCCCACCTCACCTTTCAGTTAACCACTGTTCTGGAAACCCAAGGCAACATATTTTAAGTTTTAACACTGATTGTTCAGGTTACTTGACTTGGGTGTGTGGAGTTCACCGAACAATGGATCAACCAAGAAAAATACTATTTTGCCTGGTTCTCAGTGATTTCGTAGGGTAAAATTTAATTAAGACTTGTACAGGACTCCAGAATTTCATACCTGAAGGGTAAAAGTCCTTTAGAAACTGCGGTCTGCTCAAGGATAGAACATTTCTTTGACTTACAACCATGGCAACAGAGGTAACCTTATAGGTACCAGGCAAACTAACACTTGAGAAAGGGATCACCTCAAAGGCAGAAGTAACAGGATCCTTCAGTTGGTTTCCATGACTGTCAAGGATAAACAGAGAAGTGGAGAAGTGAGTCAGATGATGTGGCTGGATGCACAGAGGTAACATGAAACAGTATCAGGTTCTGGCGCTACACCCTTCCAGCTAATGGAAGTGGATTATGGGTTCAATCCCAGGACAATGGGTTCAGGCTCCACACAGGACATCTTATTTCTGTCCGTGGCTGTTGGTCCAGTTGACCAAAACGTCATGCTAATGAGGTAAACTCTAGGTTTTGATTCCCAAGTAGGAGAACAGAGTAAAAGTTTTAGAACTTGAAAGGGCACTTAGTGAAACCATGAATCCTATGATTGTACAGATGATGGCACTGAGGATCGGGAACACAAGCACACTACCCAGTCCCACCGCAGAAGCTGACTCTGGACTCTTCTCACTCACCACGCACCACTTAACTCACTAGGACTCCAGTGCAAATCTCACCATGAATCTTCCAAAGGTGTGCTTTTGGTAAAAACTGGAATCAAGTTAAGACCAGGAAAGTGACTCCAAATGCCACCCCCACTGTTGATGGGACAGTATGTCCCCATCAAACATACACACTCCAGTAAAACATGAAAACCATTTTCTGAAGACCCATTCTGCATTTTCTGTATCGAGATGGTACTCCATGGAAACTATTCTGCACTATAGCAATGGAAATTAATAACTCAGTCACAAATACTTAGGATTGAGAACCACTTGACAAACCTCAGTGTGTTTCTAAGTCTATTACCAAACATCCACTTTAGGGTTAAGTCTACCAAAAATAATAATAATAATAATAACTTGTAAAACATCAACAAATAAATGTAGAAGATATGAAAGATTGAAAAAATCACCATTTGCAACAATTATAGTACTAATTGATGTAGGTAATCATCTTCAATAAATAAAAACTGCTGGATGATGGGTGAGAAACAGGACCAATAATCACAGAGGCTATCTCCAGAGGGGAAAATTAATTACAACGGGGAAAACAGTAACTTCTCAACAGTGAAACCTGACAGATACCATTTTAACCAAGTGATGAGGTACCACCAGTGACTGGGAAGAGCACCGTCATGTGTCTCCGGATGATACATATTGAGAAGGGTACAACCTCACCTGTACACAGCGCTGTGCTGGTAAATGTAAATGTTTCACCACCAGAAGCGGGGGAGGGGGTACGAGCCCCGGTTTGCAGCATTTGCCGATTTCCACGGTATGAATATTCCGACCATGGCTGACTTCAAGCTACGAATATGACATCCCAGAACAAGGAATCGGGAAGAGATGTGAGAACTGGCTCTCACAGCTGGTACTAACCAGCTCCAGCACACCGCTGGGCAGTATTCCTGTAAAATTACATCACTCGATCTAATCATGAGGAAGCTTCAGACAAACATCTGGCCCATCCTCCTCGCAAATGTCAATGTGGTGAATGCCAAAGGAAGGCTGAGGAACTGTCTGAAAGCCAAGGAGACTAAAGAATCATAACAACTAAATGCAGTGTTTTATCCTGGCTCAAGAAGTAAAGTTGTTATAAAGGCGTCATTAGTACAACTGAATTGCATGGTAGGCAATGGGATAGATTCAATATTAAATGTTCTGAATGTGATCATTGTTAACATGGTTACATAAGAGATGTCCTTGATCCCAAGAAATATACCATGAAATATTTAGGAGTAAACAGTGTAACTTATTCTCAAATGGTTCAGAAAAAAATCACACATATTTTGAGGGAGGGGGGAAGAGGGAGAGAGAGAAAGCGCCAGGAGTACAAATGGGACAATATGTCAACAACTGGTGAATTTGGTTTGATAGACATACTGGCATTTTGTGTGTGTGTGTCCTATTCTTGCAACTCTTCTGTAAGTCTGAAATTATTTCAAAATAAAAAGTTTGTTAAAGAATAAATTGGGAATTTGGGATTAACACATACACGCTACTATATATGAAACAGATAACCAACAAGGACCTACTGTGTAGCACAGGGAACTATATTCAATACCTTGTAATAACCTATGATGGAAAAGAATCTGCAAAAGAATATATGTGTGTGTAACTGAACCACGTTGCTGTATACCTGAAGCACTATAAACCAACAATACTTCAATTTTTTAAAAGTTTGTTAAAAATTAACGTATTTTCCTGGAGTGTTGCATATCTGTTTGTCTTGACTGCCTTGTACCCTGCCCCCCTTTTCTGAGCAGAATATCCCATTCTTTGGGAGAATTGCTTCCTTCCTTGCTGCATCTAATGGAAATACAATCGTCCTTTTGTGGCAAGTGATGGGAGATGGTTCAAAGATCTTCCCAGGGGTTTTCCAAGTTAGAACTAAGGGAAGAAAGTGCGCTCTCTCTGGGGATGGCACTGGGAAGATGTGAACCAGAGGGAATCAATGCACAGACAGACAGAAAGGGGCTTCTTAACATTGGCTTCTTAACAACTGTATCCACTGCTGAGCTGGGCCAGACTTCCAAGTCCGGTTAAAATTCAAAAAATTGTCACGGAAGATGCCTTGGGCGCTGCTTAGATGTGCTCACCTTCGTTTACTGCCAAGCCTGCAAACAGTGCGAAGAGCCAGTGAGATAAGGACACAAGTGAGTGCACGGATGCAGCTCCCTGGGGCCTCTCAAATTCCTCCTGTGCACACAGCCGCACGGAGGGAGGACTCCGCCAGGCCAGGGAGGCCCGGAGCTGTGGGCCGACTAGTTCATACACAAATAACTGGCCACATCAACACTTAACACCTACCCCCCATCTAACGAGGCAATTCTTGCTAGGCCTTAAAAACATACCTCCTTGTGCTATTTCCTATTTTCTAGGGGTTATCACGCCCCTAGAAAGCCAGGTCATAATGACCACACCTGCATCCCCCACTCCATGCATAAATAAACCAGTACTTTCTCCTTTTTTATCCGAGCTAGCTGTGAGAGGCAATGTTCATGGAGGGTCTTCTTAATGAACATTGCTCATTCGTTCTTCCAGATCAGGGTTTTACAACCTCAGCAGAGTGGACATTTTGAGCCTTGAGAATTCCTTATTGTGGGGGGGGCTGTCCTTTGCTTTTTCTAGGTGTTAAGCAGCATTCGTGACCTCTGCTCACCAGATTCCAGTAGAGGCCTCCCCGCGAGTTATGACAACCAAAAATGTCTCCAGGCCTTTCCAAAGGGTTCCATTTGGAATTCCAGTTGAGAATCACTGCTCTAGAGTCTCTAAGTTTGGAGTAAGCTAGAATCATCAGAAACTGAGCCAGAAGGTCTGTCCCAGGTAAAATTGCTTCTTTGGCACGGTGTCCTGGCACCACTCCCGCTACCCACCCTTATGCTGACAAACAGTGTAAGAAACAACCCTCAGAAACTCATTATTTTAATAACTCTAGGTGTGCTGTCGACGACATGGTTCATTACATCACATAATATCCCTTTACGAGGACCCACGGGGGAAGTTTCTGATTTTTAGGACCTGGGGTGACTGTGTTCCTTCGAGCAGCAGCTTTGTTTTTACTTTAATGACCACTGTGCATTATGTAAGTGACCATAACTCTCTCTTTGCTTTGGGTCTTAAGAGAAGCTGAATGTCAAATTTGCAGGCTAAATGCTTTATACTGACCAGGCTGAATGTTTTATATTAACCTGAACTTTGGCAGCATCTAATTATTTCCACCTTTATCTTCTCACTTACAAATAACTCTGATTTCATCGCTTAACAATTTTAGTATTTTTTCCTTTTTATTGAAGTATATACAGTAAAGGGCACAACTCTTAGGGTGCAGCTCGATGAATTCTGACATGCGTGTACACTCATATAACCATCCCTCGGATCAAGATGAAGGATCAAGATACATGCTTACTGATATTTTTCATCTTAGGGAAATGTATATATTTGTATAAACCACATCAAATCAATACAATCATTTTGCTAATTAGAAAGGTACAAAATAATGCTGTAAAATTGTTTTAATTTGCGGTTCTTTGATTAGTAACCGATTTGAATATTTTCCTTGTAATTGCCTGTTATTAGCTATTGCCTGTGAGTGAAACAACTCTTTGTTTGCTTAGCTATTTGAGAACTTCTTTTTTTTCTTTTTTCTTTTAATTGAAGTACAGTTGACTTGCAATGTTGTGTTTGTTTCAGGGTACAGCACCGTGATTCAGTTATTCATATACAGATATTCTTTTTCATTATAGGTTACTACAAGCTACTGAATATAGTTCCCTGTGCTATACAGTAGCACCTTGTTGTTTACCTGTTTTATATACAGTAGTTTGTATCTGCTAATCCCAAACTCCTAATTTATCCCTCCCTCTACTGAGAATGTATGTGTCATCTGAGCTGTCAATATTAAAGCTTTGTCTTGTCTGTGGGGTAGAAATTGTGTCCTTCAAGCCATTCTCCTTGAACGTGCTCTCCATTTCTTGTGAAGTCTGATTGGACCCAGGCCTCTCAAACTGGAAGACTCTATAGGGCTTCAAGCAAGGAATTTTTTTTCTGAAACTCACTCAGTTTCTCCTCTGCAAAACGGGGAATGATAATGTTGAATTTACTCAGTTGTTTGGAACATTAAATGAAGTATACATATGAAGCATTTATCATGAAGTCTAGCCCTCAGTGTTATTTTCCCTGCACTGAAGTTTACCATGTTGCTTCTTACATTTTTGTTTGCTTGTTTTGTTTTGTGGGTGGGGAGGTAATTAAGTTTATTTATTTATTTATTTTCAGAGGAGGTACGGGGGATCGAACCCAGGACCTCATGCATGCTAAGCATGCTCTCTACCACTGAGCTATACCCTCCCCCCAGCTTTTTACATTCTTATATATCATTATAGCCACAGTTCTCTACTTTGTTCTGAGATACTGTTTAATTTTTGTGTAGTTCCATAACACTTAATCACGGTTCCACTGTAATGTCTCAATACCTGGTACGATAAAGGCTCTAACTTTCCATAATAATCTTTGACACTCTTGTTCGCTTATTTTTTTTAAAAGAAATTTTAAAATAATCTTGTCAAGTTTTTAAAAAAGATATAATAATTTGCCTCCCTCTTTGGAACCATAATATGTCTCCACTGAAACTGCTTTACCGTGATCATAAAGTTTTATGATATACACACATCCTGTGTTAGGATTAATAATCAGTATTACATATTTTCCTACATAAATGGGCAACTTTTTCAATCTATTAATTTGGTTATCATTATGTAGGGATTTTTTTTTAGTGTATTTAACTTGTATTCAATTTCTTCACCAAAGCCAATAATGCCAATGAGTTTTAGCTAATTTATTTTCATTTTCTAGGCACATAGTGAAATTGTCTCCAAATAATATTTTGGTGCAGTTCTTTGCCATGTATGATAGTATAACTGACTGCATTGTATGAAGCAGATATTTTACTTAACACAGCAAAAC